TATTCTTAGATGCTGAAAACTGCTAAATTCATTGCCTAAAAACCAATAGTTAGTAAATAATAGCACCAGAATTAGAAACCACATGTTTCTGATTAAAAAGTATGTACTCATTATGCCAATAATTGGTGTATAATATGCTATAGTATGACACATATATAATAAAATATGATGTAATATGATTGTGATGTAATAATTATAGTATATCAAGTAGTTGATTGTATGTGTATACTTTTATTTAGAATTTAGAAGACTGTTTATTCATCATGATATGTTATTTACAATGGATATTGTTAAACTAGTAAAATGATTATCCTGATTAACATAATTCAATATGTTAAGAACATTCGATGAGGACAGGTAAAATTTATAGATTGATAAATTGTCAACAGAGACATAATGCAATAATTTGGTAATCCACATTGGATATTAACTACTTGAACTTTAATTACATGATATGTATTTTACTTGAAATAGATTATTGTGGCTATCTATTAACTTATAAAAGTGAAGAATTTTCACATGTTAGCCAAGTAAATTGCTTTGGAATTATAAATGTTTCTTTGAAATGATGTCTATAACTCAATTCTTGATGTTAACCTGAATAGCAACATTATTGAGGCCTCACTGAACTGTTAGAAGACACCTGAAGGTTTTCTTTCAAAGCTATAAAATAACAGTTCTTTGTAATTAACTATTTCAGAAAACTTCTTTTATCTTTTATCTGCAATAAATGTACATCTAGAAAGCAAACTGTTTACAGGTTTGGAATTTTTATCTTTCCCAAGAGAAAATGTATTTAGGTATTATTAAGGAGGATGATAAAATTATTTTTTTTTCTTTTTTAGTCTTTTACTTTTTTAAAAAATTTATATATTTTTTACATCATTCTTCATTTTTGTACACTGTATGCTTTCCTATCTCGGTTATATAGTCCCTGTGAAATTCCCACCACCAATTCACCCGTGTACCATCACCATGGTCCTCTGTGCTCTTCCCACTGTATAATTATACTGCTTTTATTAGACTTTCATATCAACTGACAGCTCAATGCTAGTGAAAGAGATAAAGACATGACAAAAAGTGAAGGTTGAGAATGAATAGGTCTTCCAGAAAGCTGATCTTTCTTTGATCTGATAAAACCTCTGCCATTCTCTGTTTTCTTTTTTTCCAGCAGACCACTGCATATCAAAAGCCTTTCTAATGATTAGCAGTGTTCTCTGAAGACTTGGGGGCAGGGCCTAAGTAAAGAAAGTTCCAAACTGATGTGATTTTTTTTTTTTTTTTTTGGTGCTGTATTTGTTTATAAGCTTTAACAATTTGTAAGAATTTTCTGGGAAATTATACATTAATCTGAAATAGATTTATACAGGAGTTTTGATTTTCATAATACTGTATCTTCCTGTATGTATGACTGCCTAGTGAGGTTAATCCTTGTTGGGTTCGGTGGAGACTAAGTATAGGTTTTATAGAGTAACTAAGTTTTCAAGTGAGAAGACTTAAATTCAAGTCCATTTGTTCAACTTGAGTTCTTAAAATACTCTTTAACGTGAGATGTAGACATTATTAGTACATCTATGGCATTTGTGTCCATGCTTCCTTCCTAGAGCCTTTTCATTTACACATGCACTGTTGGAGTATGAAGCTATTTAGTTAATCTTTCTGGATTAATTAATCTTAATAAAAGCAGAATTGAGTTTCAGTTTTCTCACTTAAGTATTTATATGGTGATCTGAGTTTTTTGTTTCCATTTTTCAGTCTGTTTGTAATGTTTGATACTGTATTAAACTACTGTAAATTAAATGAGAATAATATTTTTTCTGACAAAAGTTAATTGTTACTTGTCCAGAGGATGGTCTGCTGAGGAAATACTCACATTTTGTTCTGTGGGTGGGAATTTTCAGTCTTAATACAGTTTGCCAGGGGCTTTAATGGTACACTGTTGGATTTAAAAAAAAAAAAATAAAATGTCACTTGACCAGAATAGAAGTTAATTAGGGACTTGAAGCCCAGAAGTCATGTCAGTTTTCTCTAAGTTATGGCTAACTGGTCTTTTGCCAACAGCACCATCAGCAACTATTTGTATTAGTCCCCAAGACAGACCAAGTATCTACAGTTCAGTGTTAGACATTGTTATGAAATTTGCTGGTTAAGAGAGATCTTTAGTTTCTTTTTGAATGAAGAAGGTAACAAGCCATGCATTTTCATGATTTCCAATGAGGATATAAAATTTAGCAACCTGAGCTTCATACCAACTTTTTAAAATACATATTTATAAAAGATACGACTTTTATAAATGTATGACTGTGTATCTTTAGATTTCTAAAACTTATTTTAGAATCTTGCAATAAATGATATTTACTTAATAACATTAATGTGTTTCTCACACACACACACACACACACACACATATACATATGAATATGAAATTAAACTGATTTGGACATTCCTCCCTCAGGAGAATTGCCTTTTATACTATGTTGACTATGTTGCCATTGCTCATTCCTCTTTTATTTTTCTCTAGAAATAATTAACTGTGATGATTATATCAGTGTGACTTATTAAGCATGGGTAATGTTCATGAGCCATGTGATTTTGAGTCAGATCAGTTCATTTGTACTTCTTCATTTCTCCAGAGTAGAAAACAGCTTGGTAATTAGTGTTGGTGCCCTGGAGGGGAGATGAATGCACCCTCATGTGTTTTGATTTTTAGGGCAGTATCTTATCTTTGTGCAAGGGAAATCTTAGTATTTCTGTCTAAGACAAAGACATTTCAGAGTGCTATGGTTTCTTAATCTTAAAAAAAAATCTTATTTTTTATTATAGCCAGTATTTTAAGTCCACAGAATACTTATTTTTCACTTTATAGATGTGAATGTGTAGCTGTTCTATATTGCCTGTTAAAAATGAGCGAAGACTTAACATTCTGAATTTTGTCAAGTATGTACTTTCATGATCATTTTCTTATTTTGTTTTTACGTACATCTTCCCATAAACTTTTCTGTAAAGAGATTGCTTCCAATTCCATTGCATTAGCTGTTTTCGCTTTTGCTGCATTTTCACACTGGATTTGAGTACACAATGGTATTGTGATACAGTATTACAGAAAGGTATGCATTTCTCCTGTGGCTTTTCTCTCTTTAGAATTTTGTTTTGGTAGAGATAAAGAAACTTCTTTTGATTCTTCTCCTTGGTCCAATTTCTAAAATTTTACTAGCTCCTCTTACTTCTATTTCTGACTAGTAGCTGGTAAACCACAATCATTGTCATTTAAGACACTGGAGAATTTTTCTTTCAATTCAGCTTTGGGATTGTTACATTAAGATCTCCCATTAGGCAATTTTTTTTAAGATTTATTTTATTTATTTATTCAAGAACCCGGGTACAGGCCAGATTCGTGGAAGGGTGAGAGGATTCACCAGAGACAGAGTGGGGAACAGAAAAGGCAGACTGACGAAATACACTGCTGAGGGGAGCAGCGGGCGAGGCAGGAGGGGTCTGCCACGCCATGTGGTATTCTCGCCCGCTGGCCAGGATCGAACCCACGCTGCAGAGGCTGTGGACAGCCTCACGGTGCGGCGCTCAACCACCTGCACCACCAGGGGAGGCCCAGGCAATGTTTTATAGTCATTGATTATGCATATGTAATAGTTTAGAAAAATGAACAGATTTGAATAGTTAGTAAAAGGGAAAAGACGTTAATACACTGATATTAGAGCTGTTCTTCAGGGGGGTTGATCAGGTGTAGTGTGGATGTCCCCTGAAAAAGCACGTCATAGTTCTAGTGAAAGATCAAAAATATGAAACAATAACCATCATGAAATTATACTTTTCTAAAACCTAACGTGATCATTTTTGTCTCTTAGTAAATGAGGTTGCTGTTCTACTTTCCTATTTCTGCCACTGTCTTTTAGCTGTGTCTGGGGAGCAGGCCAGAAATGTACTCAACACTGAGCTATTTTTGTAAAAGGACACAGAGTGTAAACACAATCATAATTACTCTTCAGAGTTAGACAGTAAGTATTTCTTACTGTCTGCCTGGCACTGTTCTAAGGACTTTATAAATAATTGCTCATTTAATCCTTTCAACAATCAGGAGTCTGATTTTCACATAAGAAAATAGAAGAGACTCACTTTGTATAACTAGTATTTAGCAGGGGTGATTATTAAATCCAGGCAGTCTTGTTTCTATTCTGTGTCTTTATTCATAAATATAACTCTCATGTAAAAGCTGATTACATGGAGAACATAATATGACACAGGGACATACACAGAGAAAAATCTAAAAATATTAGAGTAGGAAGAAATATCTATAGAAATGACTAGCACACGGACAATAGACATTTTATCTCCAGCTGATCCTAATGGAATAAAAGTACTATAGGAAAATAAGTCAGCCTAGCATTATCTAGTTACATTAACATATAGAAGTGAAGATGAAATAAAGCCATTTTCAGATATGCAGATAGTCACACTTTTCTATTCACAGATTATCTCTGATAGAACAGTTAAAGATGTACTTTAACATTTTATTTGTAAGTGAATTTATTATAGTTGTGTGGATTTTGGTAGAAATAAATATGCTGTTAAGATGTTATATAGTATGGTGGAGAACACATATTTATTGGTAACAACGTCATTTTCTTTCCACTAACAGAAATACATGAAGGCATTTTCTAAAAAGAGGATTTTACCAAGATGAATATACTATACTGATTAAAGCTTTTTCTGAAAACTAAAATATTGGTCATTGAATAGAGGATACTATTGCGATGATGGCAGAGGTCAAAAATAGTGTGTTATTTTATTACTAAAGAATAAACACAATGTATCAGTTTCAGTAGGTTAGATTACTAAATAATTTAGAATTTATGAATCATAAGTAAGGAGTCTCTTTTGCATTTTATGTGTCCATAATTGATTTGAAAGCTCAAGTACTCTATATAAACAATTACATATACATGTGGTCATTTGAATTCTAATATTTATTGGTTTCTTTTCAGCGCCTGGCTCTGGAAGCAGAGAAAGTTCAAGCAGCCCACCAGTGGAGGGAGGATTTTGCAGTAAGAAACTTTTCTAACCACTTCATTTTAGTAGATTGACTATTAGGGTTAGATAATTATGATTATATTAAAATATTTTTTAGTAATGGAACCTTAAAATGTTATGGGACAACAGGTAGTCAGCTTCTGCCATGAATGGATTCTGTTGCTGTTCAAAAAACCTTTTCTTTGTATTAAACAAATTTAGTAATATGTCAGGTCATTATTTATGAGTAGTATGCTTTCCCCCCCACTTTTCTCAGGAGAAATAATGTCGTAGAGAATAACTTGTCAATTAGGGATATATTAATACCTATTATCAATGGTGTTTTTATTTAATTATTATGTGATTGTTTCCTAGATAGAAAGTTTTCTTCAAAGATATAAGCTCCTTGATGAGCCTCATTAACACAAAATGAGTATCTTGGCAATGATTTATTTCTTCGTACAGAAGTATTGGGTGACCATTGATGATGACACAAAAAAAATCTCAATGCTTGTTAGCTATTACCATAGTTCATAGAATGAAAGCTATCATCCATTGAAAGGATGCTTATCATTTATTATTGCTAAGAAAGGAAAAGGATGTCAATTAAATTATGATGCACCCATAATTTAAGCTTTTATTACTTGTTAGATGTTAAAATATAGAAAAATACTTCTAGAGGACAAATCAGTCCTGCAATGATACAAAAGCCATTACTAAGTCTTACATGGTTAAATAGAAAGTAGCAAGCAGCTTATCCAGTGACAGTGAGTGTTAGGTCTTTTTAGCAAATCGTGGTCACTGTGTGAGAAAATTTCTAAACCAATTCCATTCTTAATTTACCTCTGGATATCTCACAATTTGTTTAGGATCTAGAAACATATTGATTGACATAGTAAGAGACTGTTGAAGGGAAAACAAATAAAGTACTTTAGAAATTTCTGAACTTATTTCCTGAATACTCTCTTTGAAGCACTGTCATGAGTGTTCAGAGTACACCTATTTATCACAGTGTGCACCCTGAGAATTGATATTTTTCCATTGCTTACCATGTGAGATACATAGTGATTACAATAGCTCTTCCCTTTGTTACCATGTGATGATAGAGCATTGTGGTAGTGGTGATTTTATGTTTGAAGTATAAAATCTGATTGGAGGATGACTTAACCTTTAGACTCATATAAGAAAATATTGTAAAAGGAAGACACACTTTCTCCTTTCCCCTGATAAATTAGAAGTGCTTCAGTTCACGTATATAGCAAAGTTAAATAAATGTTCAAGTCATAAAACAAGTAAAATTCAAATTCATGGTTGGAAATTAAGAGATCATCATGATTAAATCCCTTCTATTTTGTGAGTCCACACAAAACAGTTGTAAATTTTATCAAATGCTGCCATAGTCCACAAAGCTCTCCTTTTAAACTTTACATTCCTTTTATCTTTTAAAGTATTTAACTATTTGCATCAATGCAATTTTTCTTTAATGCTGTCCTTTAATAATTTAACACTAGAATGATTTAGAAGGCAGAAATAATTTACTAAAAGGTACATTAACATTTCAAAAAGAAATGTAATATTCTGATTCTTCCCTCAAGTGTAAGTAGGCAAGTTTCATTAATATTACTTAAGCAAAATGTTGATTAACATTCCCTACTGTATAACGTAGGGAAATTTCATGAACAAGAACAAAAGGCAAAGCACTGAAATGCTGGCAATGAGAAAGGGCTCATGTAATTCACACTCTCCCTGTGCTTCGCTCAATTCCCAACTGAATGTAAGATTGAGGGAACAAAGGGCATATACTCTAAATGGATTAAGATTTATGCGGTCATGCATTTACAAGTTCAAACCAATATTTGTAAATAGGCTATGTCTACCATCTGCCTTTTAGGTCTCCATGCAACTTATGGGTGTTAAAGGTGACATTTTATGTCACTTGTGATGGACAAATTATTTTGTTAAGGGCAGGTGGGAGAAGGAAAAAAAAGCTTGGAAAACTAATTGTTCCACATGAAATAATCGCTGTTATTTCTACAGAACAGATCTTTTCCAATTGCAACTGAAATCTCATTTGATTGCACTGCAATGCTTGGTTAACTAAAGCAATTTTGTTTTCAACTAAGCCTGCAATATTAATTGTACTTACACATGTATAAACATAAGGGATGCCTAATTTGTATTTTAATAAGTGGGATCTTTATGTATGGCTTATTAGCATCAGCTTGTTATTGTGCAAGCTTAGTACCGACGTCTAGAAATTGGCCAGTAAATAAAACATTTGAGGAGCCTTTTTTAGCCTCTGCTTCACAGAGAAACTAAATTAGAAGGTGAATTTTTTTCCAGTGAAGTTGAATGTTACTGTGTCAATCAAGCTCATTTAGTTCTCTAGTATAGCTTTCATTTTGCCATTAAAAAAATCACTTTGCTGAAGTCATATTTTGAAATGTTGCTTTGAAAATTGTAATATTTAAATTTTTGTATTTATATATGTGAAATTAATAGTCACACACTATATATTTAATTATTTTATCTTTCCTATTCATTTCATGGAATTGCATAACTATTGTGTATTGTAGGAGAAGCAGTTGTGAATATGTGAACTGTGAAAGCATGATGCATTTATTTTGGTTACAGTGTTTAAAGATAAGCACTTTCTAAAGTGGGTCATGTATATAAAAGACCTGAATTTTGAGATAAAAAGTATGGGTAGTGGTGCCCCATCTTAATGAATAAATGAATGAATTTAATAGATCACTGAAATTATTTTAGGTTCCGGCCTAAATCTATTTAGTCTTTCTTAGTTTCTACCTTTGGTGCAACCTTACTTTTTGCAGCATTTCTGTAATGTGAGGAAACTATGTTTTACTGCTGCTTGCTCTTCGAGGCTTGGCACTCATCTTCCTCATCAGGATAAATGAAAAGGAGCCGTAATGCAAAACTGATTTTTCCAAAGATTATTTGGAGCAAATATAATAGAAAAAGTCAGATAAAATTATAGTGACTTACTCTTTTTGTTTATGCATACTTATAATGCCCATGGTAAACGTATCGTAACATAACAGTAGAAAATAATAACAATTTAAATTACTTTAAATTGCTAGTTATCCAGGGTATTGGCTCCTATTTTTGTTTATTTTATTGAGAAAAAGAAGCAACACAATTTCCATTAATAGCTTTGTTAATAAAATTAGTTTTTTTAATAAAATTAATTTTGTTTTGAATAATTTCTAGTGATTTCCTGACCTCATTATGTATTATTTCTATCCAAGCCAAAGTCACATGATAGTGAATGAGAGTACAGTGGGACTCCCTGTAGTAAGACATCATGGTATTATGTCTGAAATACTGCAATTTTAGATATAAATGGCATTGGCTAAATTTCACTTTCTTTTGTCCTCTTAGGAAGGGAAGGAGAGGGTAGAAAGGACAAGTATCTGTGATACTTGGAAACGGGTCGGGGGGTGAATGATGGGTCTGTACTGCCTCAATATCCTGGAATTGAGCAGATGGAAACATTGCTAAATTATTGGGAGATTCCCAGAATTGCTGCCAGTGTTCTCAAAATTCCAGCCATGCAGAGCACCCAGTATCATCCTCATTGATATTTAATCCAGGGTTGATTATTGCCACCAGCTGGTGCCAAATTGCAGCTGTCACTTAGAGGCTTTTTGAACTTGGGGATTTCATTAACCTCGCTTTAACTTGGACTACATTTTATTAAAATTTCTGGATGTCACTTATTTGCACTAAGGTAGGTGTTGCTGTATTAATTTCTCAGCCAGAAAGGAAATAAAATACGGAGAAAAATGTATAAGCATGACTCTACCAAAAAAAAATGTTTTCTAGAGATTTGGCTTAGGTGTTCACAGCCGATTGGCACTAATCCTGGGATGGATGTTCACCTAGTGTAGTCTCTGCCAGCTCCCTTGACTCGAGTTCTCTTTGCCATCCTTGCTCCAACGCAAGAATACTGCTCTGTGTAGGGTCCTGTCACCTGATGCATCCCAAGCTGCAAAACCCTTGAGCTCTAGCCAATAATGTGCACCATGAGGAAATAGGGTAAGTGACTTAATCAAAACTGTGGAGGGTTTTTTAAAAGTCTAGATAGATAATAGTTTAATGTGATATTAAAAAAAAATTAAAGTTAATGCAAAAATCCTCTGTGAAAAAAACAATTTTTTTTTCTAAAAACTATTTGTTGTGGTAAGAAGACTTAACATAATCTATGCTCTTAACAGAGTTTAGTGTGCGGTACATTATTGTCGACTACAGATCTCTAGAGTGCATTCATCTTACTTAACTGAAACTCTATGGCTGCTGATTAGAAATTCCTTGGTTTCCCAAACCCCTAGCCCCTGGTAGACACCATTTCAGTCCTTAATTTTATTGACTTGACTATTTAGATATCTCATAAAAGTGAAATCATGCAATGCACATGTCTTTCTGTGTCTGGCTTATTTCACTTAGCATAATGTAGTCAAGGTCCATTCGTATTATTGCATCATGGAATCCTACCTTTTAATGCTGGGTAGTATTATATTGTATGTATATACTGCATTTCTTTATCCACTCATTTGTCAATGACCTTTTCATGATTGTTTCCAGTTTTCAACTATTGTGATTGAGGCTATAGTAAACTTGGTAATTCTAGTAGCTCTTTAAGATTCTGCTTTTAGTTCTTTAAGCTTTATACCCAGAAGTGGATTTCTAGGTCATGTGATAGTGCTAGTTTTCATGTGAGGAGCCTCCATACTATTTTATAAAGTGACTGCACAATTTTGCATCCCACTAACAATAAGCAAGAGTCATGTTTTCTTTACATCCTCACCAACATTTGTATAATGGATTAAACTCTTGAACACCAGATTTGAAATATAAAACTTTTATACTAAAACAGAATAAAAGCTTCAAGTCATTGTTCTTATGAGTTCATAGATATAACAACAAAAGCACAAACAAAATATAAAGTAGGACTACAGAACTAAAATTATCATTTGCTGAAAATCTCTGAAATATTATTAATAAGTCTATAATA